TTGCACAATGTTTAGGCAATTATTTACTTTGGTTGCCGCGAACACACACAGATACAGAGTGAGTGTATGGGGCTGACATGAAGCCCTAAATACAGAGCCCCGAAAGCTTATCTTGACAGCCATTAAATGGCCGCAAAGCGCTGGAATATGTGATTTATGTATGTGAATATACGGGAGTTTAGGTGAGAAGAGGGGCGGGGTTTTCTGCGTGCGTGTGCATTTTTAAAAGGGTCCCAAATAGGCAAAGAGGGGTACGAACTTCTAATCGCGCTTATCTCGCGACTCACAACGCCCCTGTCCATCAATTTTATCGCCTTCGGGGTGCTGTTTAGTTTATTGACCCATTTGACTAGGTGAACGAGGGTGGCAATTTGTTGGCGGCAATAAATCCAGCAAATTATTGGCCAATTTTCATGCGAGTTAATTTCCAGTTAAAGTTCAGATTTCGCCCGAACATCCTATAAATAGCGCAGACATGTATGCGTAGGCCTCCGCTTGATAGATGATTCCGCCTCCTTCGAAGCTAATAATAGGGCACACACACAATTTTGGGGCCCCAGTCTCCTTAATCCACGCCCCCTGCTAGGAATTCTCTTCGGCTTTCATTAATATTTTTGCTGGGTCGCACAAACAATGTATTGACATTTCAATTAATTATGAGTGAGCAGGGGAAGGGCGAAGGGGAGGGGCCGAAGAAAAGCGGCTGGACGCAAGCTGTGACCTTTTGGACCTGTCAGCCGAGTGATATGAAATCCTGGCTTGACATTTGCGAGATGCGAGTGCAAAGTTAGCAAAAGTTTTCCTTCAGGATTTTCCTTATGTATCACACAAATATAAGGTATAAAGAGTATATTTAAAAAAATAAAAACGAGTAAAAATAATGGTTTCTAGAATATTCGGTAATGCTTCATAAGTAAATTGAACTTAATGTAAAATACTGAATGGAAGGAAAATTATTTCCTTTCTTTTTCGTTCTAGTTAAATCCCTACTAACTAATAGTCTAGTTTTAATGCACTAAAAACGTTAATATTTATTAGTATGGAATTATAAACCCACATTTTGGAATTTATTTATACCTGCACAGGATTTTATGTGTTGCCCAAAAGCATCATAAAACAAAATAGTTCATAAATATTAGTATATTAATATTAATAATTAATATATTATAAATATTTTCATATTTTGTTTAGTACAACAGCTTATCTAAATAATTAGGTAAATAACTTATTTGAATTACAAATTGTAATAAAACACAATTAACGATAAAAATATTGAATTTTATAAATAATTAAAATTAAAAGAGAATATATTATTTTTAAAATGCGTGATTTAATAGAAATTAAAGGCAGTTTAAAATATTACACATTGATTAATCTCGCAACCTCACAGGCTTTAGCTCGAAATGGATGTAAAGGGGAAATCTTTGTTAAAGCTATGAAGTGGGCCTCTTGCGGTTGGTGGGCTTTTCGCAATCTGTTCGAGCCACTCACGTATGCAGCGCCCTTTGACCTTTCGATCTCGCTCCCCCGTTGCTGTTGTTTATCCAGCCTCTCATTTCGGCCACCCAAACGTGTCATCAGCTGTTGCCACCGCCTGCTGGTGAACTTTTATTTGCACCTCATCCACACAGCGATTTCGGTGTTTATCAAACTGTCTCCTAAATGTTAAAGTTAAGGCCCCCGTCTGAGGTGAGCCTTATCCAAATCCGGGCTGCAGAATATCACTCATACGCACCCGCTCACACACACACACAGACACAGACACAGACGGGCGAATCCTAAATGGCAAAATGCTACTAAGCCCACTTACTTACAATTTAGCAAAAAAATAAGGCAAGCGAGAGACAGGAAGAGAGGAACAAAATCATATGGCGAAAACGAGAGTGTAAAATTTTTTGCATACATAAAACGAGGAGCAAAGCGTAAGGGCAGCAGATAAAACAACAACAAAATGAATCCAGCTTTATGGCACGCACCCACACAGGCGCACATATCGCACACACACGGCACTTGACTTTATTCAGCAGCGATGGCAAGTGCCTTAATAGTGTGTGTATCCGTATATCTGTACATCATCCATGGGGTTTTCGCCCACATGTGTGTGTGTGGACTACTTTCTGGTGCGGGCGGCACAAAATCCAATCAACATAACGAGCTACAAGCGCCGCTGAGCGGCATAAAACGCAAAAAATATATACGACTCTGTGCGGGATGTGATTGTATGATGGTGTGCGTGTGTGTGCGTGTTGAGATTGCACACACACAGCACGCTCTTTTGGCCAGAACACTGCTAGAAATAATGTGGATCTGGCTGGGGATAAAGATAAAGCCATAAGTCGGCACCAGACTCAAAGCCAAATAAATCTCCTCTCAAATGCCAGCCAGAAGCCAGAAATGAATAAAGAATACAAATCTGGAAGTGTCGAATCGCCTTTTAACAGAAATATTTAATCTCATTAGGGGTTCGGTATGCGGGAAAAATTTTTCCCTGTTTATAAGTCCTTATTGGATTTATATGCAGACCTAAACCCCTTACAAGGGCCCGCCGGAGATGTAAAAATTCAAGCTTAAATAAACAAAATTTTTTTTTTAATTTTTAAAATTGTAAACACAATTATATCTACGCAGATTTAAAGAAAAATCAAACAAGCAATTGAACAAATTTCGTTTGATAATTTTTTTTTCATATAAATAAATTAATTGTAAAAAATAATAAGTACATTAAAATAAAATCGACATTCTTCTTCTAATTAGAATTAATTAATTAAACGTGTAGTGTCTGCTTATTTTCTTTAAGATCATATTTTAATGATAATTGACAAAGGGCCAAGAATTTGAAATATGCATTTTAATCAGACAATATATTAAAGATTCAGAGTTGGACATTATAGAATTAAAATATTCTCAAATACTGTGATTAAGAACGGAACCAATTTTAACGGAACAAATACAACTGGCATCTATAGTTGTTTTTCCCAAACAAGTTGCGAATATTTTTCGCAGTTTTGAACGTTCATTCAACTCGCAGCTTGGCAACAACAAGCGGCCAAAACAGCTCAAAGCTTTCGCTGAGGTAGACAAGCGCCCGAGTGTTGTTGTTTTTATTGTCGGTGGCGAACAGTAAAAACATTGCCAAGCTCAAAAGTGTGTCGACTCGTCAGAAACATACACACACACACACACACACACGCACAAACAAATGAAATAAAAGTAAACCCATTTACACCACACACACAGTTGGTAGTCCTTTTATTTTTCGTGTTTTTTCCCCTGCTTTTGAGGGGGTTTGGAAGGAGGATTGGCGCCAACTGCTTGGCAAGCTGCAAATGTGGGACATTTGGCAGTCGCAGTCGCATTGTTAACTTTCTTTGACAGCGGGCCAAAAAATAAAATGGGTGAAATGGTAGGAGGGGGAGCCTCCCAGGAAGGACCGCCCGGGTCCATGTCCTCAACTCAGCGCCAATGTTGCTGCTATTTTGCTCAATGCAGATGCAACTGCAGCTGTAGATGCGTGTATTTATGGCACAAAATTGCAGGCACAGCAGCGGCAAATTAACACAGCACGAATGCAAATTTGGAGCGGCCTGAGCCAGCCTGTTGCCATTCCGATTCCCACTCCCATTCCGATTACCATTCCAAAGCCCATTCCCATTTCGACCAATTGATTATTTGCATGGGGCTTCCACATGGCAACAACTGTGAAAGCCCCGACTCGGTCATGGCCACGCCAATGTTCCGATGTCCTGGTGTTCTGGTCTCTCGGCTTGCGTGTATATTTTGTGGCCTTCCTTGGCCCGACGAGCGATGGGCGGCTGTGGGCGTGGCATTTCGGTCACCACAACGCACTTATCGCCCATGCACAGCACGTCGTCCATTGAAGTGGAGAAAAATGCTTATAAAGGATTAATTCGATTCCAATATTCGCATACGCAAACGCATTTTGCATTTCGCATTTCGCATTCGGCATTTTGCGTCTCCGGCCTTCTGAAAGCTGGTCAGCAGATATATCAGGGATATTGCCGGTCATTGTTGGCATTGTTTTAAATGCCCCGACCATAATGATTGTTGCAAAATGAAAGCGAGCAACAGAGAGCTTCGTTTGGCATTGAAAGGGTATGCGAAAGGCAGCTGGCAAGTGTGATGCATTCTGCAAACGAGAGATAAAAGTATTAACTGCTTTAATTAACGAAATATTCGCAGTTAAGCTTTAGAAAGCCTGGGAATTAGGTGAACTTAATTCAAATTGACTGCCTGGAATTTCCAATTAAATAAACAAAGGAGGAAATCTTAATTGGCTAAATTCCTAGTACTTCAAACTCATTATCTGCACTTAAATAATCACATGGGCAGTGAATATTGCACCTATGATTATCCTATATTTTCATGGTTATTAATAATATTTATAAGAAATATTAAATATTCGAAAGAGCATTCGCACTTCACAACTAACATACCGAGAAAAATCCTTGCCATAGTCTTTTGTAGCTGCTCGTTGAATGTGTTGAGCTGCGATTGCAATTTGCATTTTTCATGAATGCCAGCCAACGTAATGGATTCCCTGGGCAACAGATTAAAGCAGCATTACGGTGTCAAGACCTTTTAAATTTTCAATTTCCCACCTTCGGTGTTGGGTCAGGAGGATATTGCAAATTTAATTGCATTTATGGCTGCATTTTGCATTTCGTATTTCGCAAAACGCATTAACACACCGGCAAAGGCAGAAACCGAGGAGATGTGCATAGATTGAGATGCATATGTATTTGATGCACTGGCACAGATAGCCAAATGGCATGTTAATTGGCCTAATTCGATGGCCAATTCAATTTAACACCGCACACACACACACAGTGACTATCGTGAAGTGGGTTAAATCAGTGAAATTTTCGGGCTGCACAAAATGGATCAATGGACACTTTGATTTTGCGGCAATGACATCGATATATGATTATCGAATCAGTTCAGTACTTCAATACTAATTGTTCATTACTTATGCATTTCAGGTCGCCACGCCCACCACCACCACCGCCCACTGAACCCACAGAGGAGGCTGCCACGCCCCCGCCCCCCTCCAGGAAGCAGGACGCACGGCACACCACATCACCACTCCCAACATGGGCAGCGGACACTATTTCTGGGCGATCTTATACTTTGCCAGCCTGTGCAGTGCTTCACTGTAAGTACCCCGCACTCCACTTTACTCGCAATCCATTGTATTCCAGTGACTCACACAAGTACACGCCACTCGCAAACAGTAGCTGCAAAATGTAAACCGCTTCATAATTTTGTCTCACGCTCCACTTACCATTTATTTTACACTTATTTTGTACTGATTTTTTTGCCGCGCGGTCCTCGTTTCGCGTGTTTCACACAGCACTTGGCCGGGAAGTGGCGTTCATAATGCGATTTACATACAATTGTCGTTAATTTGGCCAAGCCACGCCTCGCTGTGAGGCAGCGATTCCGATATATTTTAACAAATGCATAAGTACATACGTATATACACTGAGAAATTAAAATAATAATTTGAAAAAGAAAGAACCTCGTAGTCGATTAGTCAGCTAAAGGAAGTGCAAAGAAGATAAATGGTCCGATTTGAAAAATGTCTTCTTCATTTCGTTAGGTATTAATAAACACCACTCTACGAGTTACAGGTATAAAAATATTCAAACCATTAAATAGGTCGCAAAGAACATTATAGAAATAAATACCATCAAGTTTTTCAAAGATAAATAAAAAGCTTAAAATTTATAATATTGTTTTGTGCTTATTTTAATATTGGTTGATCTGCTTTCCCGCCAAATTAGCAGTGTAGTTGTGAGCTGTAGTTTGCTTCTCGGTTCTTGCTTATTTTAAAACACACGCCCACCATTTAGCCGCTTTCATCCACTTTAATTTCCATATCCTGTCTCACACACACTCACAGAAACACTCCACCAGGACACATCATTAAAATGTAATTAATTTTCGTGTAATTTTTTGTCGGAGCATAAATTTTGGAATTATTTACGCTCAAGTCGAGGTCAGAGTCCGCAGCTATGTGACTTTGCCTTGGCTTTTGATAAGTGCGACAGTGTATAATACCAACGATAACGATAAAAGCAAACACTATCCCACACCTCCAATTAATTTGTATATATTTTTATCTTAAAAACAAACAAACAATAACTTGCTGTAAATTGTATGCAAAACTTTTCTTTTATGCGATTTTTCAAACCACAAATTACCAACAATTTGCTCAGCTAATGTTTTTCCAAAACTTCAATACCATTTAAATAATTCAATATTTTCAAATTTGCCCAAAATAACTGAAGCAAACGTTTTATTAAATTATACATGCGTACCTATCCGTATCCTGATTTCAGAGCAAATAATGCCAAAATAAATTTCCGAGAAAAGGAGAAAAAAGTCTTAGATCAAATTTTAGGTGCAGGCAAATACGACGCCCGAATACGACCATCTGGAATAAATGGCACAGGTAAGAATAATTCAAAGTTTCCCATATCGAACTTAACCTGCCGCCATAATCAATAATTGTTTCAATTTTTTAATAACTATTGTTTGTTTATATTAATGGTTTTTCCTTTGACTTTCTGTTTTCGATAAATAAGATATAAAATTATTGGTGAAAGCTATCGTTAGGATAGCTATGTAACAAAATTCCGAAATTTTAGCTAATTTAAGCCTCTGCCTAAGTTAATCGAAATCCAATATCCAATATCGAATCATCTCTAACTTAGCTTAGTGTGCCGATCCGAGCAAAGCAATATTTAGCTTAGTTAGATCAGCTCGATAAGTTTACCGTTTCACATTTATGTCGAAAAACTTACTTTTAAACCAAACTTTACGCCAGATGGTCCCGCAATAGTCAGAATCAATCTATTCGTACGCAGTATTATGACGATTAGTGATATTAAAATGGTAAGTCGCACTGCAACGGAGCCAGTAAACTCGATATCGGCACTCGAAATCGATAGATTCTCCCCCCACCACCACCCCCTCGCTCCGATTCTCTTGCTCTGTCTCTTGCTATCTCACTCTGCCTCCTCATCAAGAAATTAGAAAACACGAAAGATGTCTTGGTAGCTCTTGCAACACACACGTACACTGAAAATTACACATAGCCAACACTATTCACTTGTAACACATCCACACACACACTTGTTTTTGCGTTTTGCGTTGACTCGTTCTCTCTAATTCTCTCGATACATAGCTACCATATATATAATGCGTATATACATCCGATGCTAAGTATTTGCGTTTGTTTTTTGCCACATTTTGGCAGTTTGTACCAGTACCTGTCCCTCCTGTTTGTACATTTCAGTTTCCGTTTCCGTTCGTTTCAATAAACAGCGTTCGTTGTGTTTCATTTAAGATAAACAGCAAATAAACCGGCCAAGTTCACCATATACACACCCAAGTTCAAGAAAAGAAGAAAGCGTTGCCTACTTTTCCGGGCCTCCTTTCAATTGGCCTTCTTTGGAATGTGGCTACTCCATTTTCTGAAAATAAAAATTAACTTAAATCTCTTGCCTTATAAATTAGTAATACGTAATCAAAACAAATATGAAACTATTGTAGGAACTTAAACTACTTTAGGCGTTCTTATATTTTTCTTTTTTTTTGTTATTTTATTTTTTAATTGCTGACACACTTTGAAAGCTGAGGTTCAAATATAAATTCTGGGATCCTAAAACATTGACATTTTTTTAAATCTATTACTAATTACTAATAACGAATTACTAATAAAACATATGAAATGAAAGTAAAACAAAGAAATATCGAAATTATATAAATTAAAATTCCCAATAAATATTTCTATAAAATGCCATTAGCTTGTTTGACGTCCCCAAAGTTATATTGATTTTTGAAGTGCCAATTAAATAAGTAAATGGTTATATAACAAATAAAAGGCATTCAAAATGGATAACTGAGAGCAAAATTCATATTTTTTCGAAACGATTTTTACAGTTTAATTAACAATAAAGTTTTGATTTCACTCGCAGTTAATTTCGTTGTTGTCATGTTGACTTTTGCCGCAGCAATGACATCATTAATAATGTAAAGGCAGCATAAATATTTAAAAATAGCTTGAACACAATCACAGCCACATACTTATAGTCCTGAATCACAACGACTGCGAATGACCATTAAAAACGACACATAAGCTTGTAAATATATACTCCATATATTTGCCAGTTCGATAAATATTAACTATTAAGGCATATCAATTAGCACAAGCCACGTTGCCCTTCGGCATTTGGAAGCAATTCACACAGATTCCGTTGTATTTTGTTCATACCACACATACGTACAAACCCCCCCAGCTCACCACCCCCTAAAAGCCACCCTCGAAGGTCACAAAAACAACTCATAGACAAACAACGCAACTTTAGTAACGTACATAAATTCTAGCTTAACTTAGGTATATAAAAAACGCAAACAAAACGAAACAAAAATCGAGAAGAAAATATTCTTTGACTTAGCTTAGCTTTGTAAGCAAAACTGGAAGCGAACTTGCTTAGCAACTTTTGTATCCTAGCAAGTAAGCAAAAGCAAAAAGGAAAAGCTAAAGGAAAACAACAACCGGGAGGATGGCTATAAAATAAAACTTTATTACAGAGAGAGAGCGGCATAAAGGCATAAGGACTGCCTCTGCCAAATATGGGGGAGGTGCCCTTCGCCTCCTCCCCCTCCGATGGTCATTTTAAGTTTGTTTTTGGGGGTTGAACCCTGCGGCAGCTGTTAAAATTTGTAGTATATTACATTGAAAGTATTGTGCAAAACGGTGAATCTGTCTATCTATCATGTATCGCCAGCAGATGGACCAGCTGTCGTTTTCGTCAACATATATATTAGGAGTATATCGAAAATCGATGATGTAACCATGGTAAGTCGGCGCCTCCGCAAACTATCAAATCCAAATTCAAAACACCCGATAGTAAATCAGACCCCCCGAACCCCTGACCGCAAGTGGATGCTCAAGTCGTAACCCCAACCGTTGACCCTTCTCTGTGATAGGCACTCTGTTCTGAGATCTGTGTTCCGCTCCTCCACTCGCAATCTCGTATTACTGCTGTTAGGCGTCGGGAAAGCAACCAAGACACTCGAAATGATACAAAACTATATGTATAAACATGGAAATTATTATATATGCTAACGTACTATACTTTATCTGATATTGGTATCTATAATACATAACACTTTGTTTGACTATCGATGTGATTTGATTTCGTACCTGAGTTATATGTTTTGTATACGATTTGCCTTTGTTTTGGGTTCTTAGAAAACGAAAGCGAAATTGCCTAATTGGTTCGTTTTTAAGTTGACAATTGCATTTTTAAAATTAGATTTGCATTGGTAAATCGAATTAACTCACTGCATTTAACTTTTATTTTTCTCATATCAACAATTTGTAAAATAAACCATTCAGTTTGCTGTTTTGTAGTCAAAATCAAAGATATACAAAACATTGTGAAAAAATGTCTTTTTGGATCTCTTTCCCACACAGTCTCTATCTGTCATTCTCTCACCGTCTATCGCCTCTAACCCCTTCTTTCCAAACATAAAATAATCCAACTTAGATTGATTTTCCTACTCTATCTCTCTCTTTACCTTTCTGTATAAATTTATGAATTTCTCCTAATAATTATTATAAATTAACTAATAAACCTCATATCGAAATATTTATAACTGTGATAAGTGGTGCAAGCCATCTATTTAGCCTCGGTCTAACAATTATTTACAAATTTATTTTTAATTACGCCATTTGCTTATTAACAAAACCTATCTGTGAAATGAACAATGTTGTTTAATTTATGCTACTCTATGTACTTAGTGAAATAATAAATTCAATTGTGAACTGTTCATTTTTATCGTGTGCTTTGTATGTGTGTGTCCCCAACCATTGTTTTCCCAGCCCACCTCCCAAAAAAAAAAAGAAAAAAACAATTTAATATTCAGCCCAATGAAAATTCGTTTCAAACAAGTTAATCCATTTGGAAATGGTCATTTTACTTTACGCCCTTCAACAAAAACAACGCTAACAACAAAAATTCTACGATGAGTTTAGATTTGGAAGCAAAATTTAATAAATCCGTTCCAGTCAACAAGAGGAAAACTAATTGAAAATGTGTGGCATGCATTTTTTAAAAATATTTGTATATAAATATTACACAGAAAAATCGAGAAATAAATAAATCCCATTGGCACAATAACCAAATACATTTTTAGAACTTAATTGAGACAAAAATAAATATTGAACAGAACAAACTGAAACTAAAAACCAATTTCATTCTTCAATGAGATCCATGCAGACATTTTTCTCTATACATTCGATTTTTCAATTCGTGTTTCGTATTTATATTACTTTTTTTTGGTTATTTATGTAAAAACATACATTTCGTTCACACATAAAATTCATCAAAAATATAGTATTTAAGCCAGCGTACGCTATGTTAGTTAGCTAGTAAGTGCAACTAGGCTAAGGACAGTTCGACGTGAGGAAGGCGGAAGCATGAAAAACAGATAAAAACCAATTTTGATGATTGATTTTAGAAAATACGCCCACCACTGTGCAAGTGAACATGTTCCTGCGCTCCATTTCCAAAATCGACGATTACAAAATGGTGAGTTCCGTTCTGGATCGAGCACAGCAAGAACAAGAACAACACTACTACGACCACTCCGACCACAACTACAGATACAAACGATTAAATCCCAAGTGCTTACTCTCACTTTGCTCTAATTGTGCGTGCGTGTGTGTGTCTACAAAAGTTAATCCAATCCAGTAATTTGGGCCTATAAAATAATTGCATTAATAATACATATCTGTCCTTCAGTGTGTCTGTGTCGGGCGTAAATGGGTGTAAAATACATTACTTTAGCCTACTTGCGACGATTCTTGGGGTCCTGCGTGTGTCAGTGGAATCTGTAAATTTTCTTTGTATCTGCAACTTGTACAACTTAAGCAAGCTAAATATGTTAACAATATCAGTGTACTTGTATCATACAAATATTTATAAATATATTCCCTGTACCGGAAATTGTGTAAAATAACTTAATATTATTTTATGTCCTTTTCTTTATTATTTTCGAACTCAAAGGCAAAACACCTGCTTATAGCTTTGTCTCTCCACCGCCAACCGATGTCACTGCCAGCCAGCCAAGTGAAACTAATCGAAACCACGATGCTATGAACTAAGTTTTAGTTTTAACTTAGGCTAGACTTAAGGCTTAGGTCGGAACCACCTCCGCACGACAAAAACAGACGCCACCACCTCAGCATTAAACCACCATAAACCAACATTCAAACCACAGCCCACACCTACGCCATTCAGTTCTGTTGCGTTCCGTTCCGTTCGGTTTTCTCGATTCCATTTTGTTCTTTCACCTAACTTCATCATTTTAAGCCACCTTGTTCCAGCCAGCTTTGGGCTCAATAAAACCTATTGAAAATGCTTACCACACACCAATAAAAACGAGAGTGTATCAGCTCCATTTAGGGACTAAGACAGGGCTAACTGTAAGTACAAAGCTAAGAGATATCATGCCAGTGCCGACAGGAAGCAACTAAGAAAAAAACAAAAATGGGGAAACCACCATTCACAATCTCCATTTGTCCAGTTCGGTTTCCGCTGTCAGGAAAAACGCTGGTAAAAAGCGGACAGCTCCGACAGCCAGCGGCTGGCACAAAAAACTCACAACACATTTAATTTGCGCCATGTTAAAATGCATAAAAGAAACGAGTCATAAATAAAAAGCAATTATTTGTAATAATTATTCAAATTTATTTGTTTTCACTCTGCTTAATTGGCAAGTGTTTACAATAACACTTCCCCCGTTTCTGGGATTCATTAAATCACGAGAAAAATATCGAACAACATGTTAGTGAACTAACAGTGTTTCCATGCGATTTTAGTTGGATTTGGTTGATATTTTAATTAAAATCCTATTTACTTTTTTTGAGTCCCATCTCTTGTGGAATGGCATGAGTTTTAACGAACTAACTAACCAACTAGTTTTGTAAGCATGCTTGTTAGCGATTTTTCTTAGTTAATTAATGTTTAATGAGGTTCCATTGAGGGCTTAATAATAATCTGACATTTTATATTATTTCACTAACCAGAGGCTTAGCTGATGGAAATCATTAAAAATCTAAACTTAGTTTCCTTTAAGTCATTAAAATACATATTATTTTTGGAAGAAGAAAATACGTTTTAACCACTTCATTTTCCGTAAGTTCTTGAAGCACATTTAAGAACTATTAAGATACTTTTAAGTTAAACTAAACTATGTTTTTCAGCTTTTGTTTGAGAGAAAACAAAGTTTATTCAAAGTTCTTTATGTATGTATAAGACGCCTTGCTTTTCTCCACTCCGCCTGCTCGTTTTGCTTTTTCTTGACGTGCTTTTTGCCTGCTTTTAACCTGCTTGCCCGTTTTGAAGTTTGAGTGTGCAACACGTCGCATGCGGCATTTGGTTGCATTTTGTGCAATATGAAATATTTATTAGCCATGACAAAATACTTGTATACCATCAACCCGAACAATGCCGAGTACATTCTAAGCCAGCAGAAACCCAAGCCAAACGACAGTTAACCACCATACTCTCAATATATACCTATATATACGAATATCAATATATACCACTCAGTTATACAAATACCAGCTACTTCGCCTCGCCTTGCTCGCTCTTTCATATTCCAACAAAAACAATCTTTGCAAACGTAAAGCCAAAGCCCCGTCCAAAACCAAAAATCGAATTCAATTAAATAAATCGAACTGCAAGCCACCCCCCATTGAAAAGTCCTCTTAACACACAATCTAAAAATAAAAAAAAAAATTGAGAAAGAAAGAAAACTTGAAAGAAACTCCCTTTTCAATTCGACAAAGCGAAATTTGCATTGTAGTTGAGATTGAATTCCCCCAAAAAGCCCCAATTTACTTCGTCTACTAATGAGAATTTTCCTCTGGCCACCCAACCATCGCCCACTCACCACCCGCCGCCCACCGACTTCGACGTCCACAGGAGTACAGTGTGCAGTTAACCTTCCGTGAACAGTGGACGGATGAACGCCTCAAGTTCGACGATATCCAGGGTTAGTTGAAGTCGATTGGGGGTAGATCTGCGGTAACCTAAATTCCTTTCTCACCCACAGGACGCCTGAAATATCTCACCCTGACGGAGGCGAACCGCGTGTGGATGCCCGATCTTTTCTTCTCGAACGAGAAGGAGGGACACTTCCACAACATCATCATGCCCAATGTGTATATCCGCATCTTCCCCAACGGATCTGTGCTATATAGTATACGTATCTCGCTGACATTGGCCTGTCCAATGAACCTGAAGCTGTACCCGCTGGATAGACAGATCTGCTCACTACGAATGGCCAGCTGTAAGTGACAATTAACAGATAAGTTAGTTATTAGATGCAGGAATAAATGATAGAGTCCTGCATGAGTGCACTTGAATTGACAAACAAGTCAATTTTTTGAAAATAGAGTGAGTGAGTTCAAGTGAGTTAACTTGGATCACTTGTTTCACTTGATCACTCATAAAAAAAAAACAAGTGATACAAGCACAGAATAAAAGTGAGTGGGAGTGATAAAATTACTAAGCAAATTATTTAGGGGATTCGAAATTATTTCATATCTATTTATTTTATATTAAATCACTTGTTTTTCCTTATGAAAAAATCAAATGAAAAAATGTGATCCAAGTTAACTGATTTTAAAAAATTGACTTCCAAGTACACTCATGCAGGACTCTAATAAATGACTTAACAAGAATTTCCAAATAGATAAATCAAGGCTACCCTTTTGGGTAAAAAGTGAAAGAAAATATGGTATTCAAAGAGTGTGCAACCAAATATTTGTTTAGGACCAACATATTCACTAAAATTGTTAGCTTTTGAAAATTGAAACTTAAAATTACCTATACCCACTTCAACGATAAAATGGCTGAAAAGTGGTGGGAGCGCTTGCATACAGGAAGCACTGGTTCGGAACTTAAGCTGCATTGTCTAAAATTAATTACGAGGATATCATGTACGGTGCAGGCTGCACATTAGAATCGATGCCTTTGTCTTCCTATAAGGTGGACTGCAGTCCAGTCGACTGGTTGAATGGGGATTAAGTGAAAGACAATAGGCCAAACTACTTAATTTTAACTAATGATAGGTTCCAGATCCTCCACAGTTCTATTCCTAAAATTGTGGCACACTTTTATATATATAATAGCTCTTTCTATTACCTTATTCAAGAAATTAATCGAATAATTTATCTTCTAGATGGCTGGACCACAGACGACTTGGTCTTCCTGTGGAAGTCGGGCGATCCCGTGCAGGTGGTAAAGAACTTACACCTACCTCGCTTCACACTGGAGAAGTTTCTGACTGATTACTGCAATAGTAAAACCAACACTGGTACGTGCGTTCAGATTGTGTGTGTTTCACAGTGTTCCTTCAGCCGATTTTTGCCACCTATATATATAAAACATAATATTATTAACTATTTTCCTAGTACCTACAATCTTCTCTCGCATATATTCTTACTCGGCTTGTTTCGTTTCCCCGCTGCGTTGCGTACTTTGTTTGCATTTGTAATAAGTGTTCCCTTGAGATTGCATGCCAAGTGGTTTAACTTTAGCTCTAGCCATATCGTAAACGTTGGGTCCCAACTGGAAAATATTATAAACGGACCCATAACCACTTCATTGCACACACATACACCCGCAATTACCCACACCCTGAACCGAACACACACACATATTCATTTATATATAGACGTAGCGAATTTCATAAGATGCCGTTTACACATGCGCCATTTCAATGAGCATATCGTTTTGGGCCGTTATCAATGCCCGAAACGCATAGAACCAACTTTTTACGATGTAATTCGCACACTTGCACACACGTGCGTCCTCCAATATATATATATATAGATACACCCACACCCATACACATCGTTTACCTTGCCGTTTTTTATGAGCACTTTGAAATCTGCGCGCTTTAAGTAAATGTTTACCTTGGCGAACAACTATTCAGCCGAGAGGAAGACGAAGTCGGGGGCATCGAGGGGATTCCCCATCGAATGCGAAACGGAAAATGAAGGCAAAAATGGCAAAAGCCGTACGGAAAGTAAATTAATCGAGGAAATTGTCTGCGACGTTGTTTAAACTTGCACAAAGACGCTGCTGCACCAAAGATGATGATGATGGTATGGCGGCAAGGATGACAAGGATGTGGATGTTGCCACAGCACAGAACAGCAGAGGAAGTGGAAATGGAGGCAAACAAGAGGGCCAGATTTTTCTACAAGTTGGCAAATTGTGTGTCAGCATATTAGGATAGTTTACGGCAGCCAGAGCAAACAGAATCGCGTATTTATCTAGCGGGTAGAGCTCCACCTGAATCAAGCTGAAATCTGCTGACACGAAGTTTGTTTGTTTACCAATTAGCGAATGGAAACGAAAATAGGGCCATCATCCCCATCATCCATCCACAAATAAGTTAGCATGAGCCTGAAATCTTCATCACTCCCGTTAAAAAAAAATTCAGATATCAAATACCAATCTCATTTTTAGCTCAACTATATTTAATCTCAACTAAATATGACTTTTTCCACCTAGACGTTGCGTAGTTGTTGCAATTTAGAACTCTCGCCTTGAACTTAGTTGCTCACATAAAGTTTATTAATTTCATATCTTCTATGAGCGTTGAACGTTGAACGGAATTAAAGAGCGAAGCCAAAGAACTCTAGAAACGAGCTCAAGTGTCCAATGCGAATGCGAATCTCGGCCAAGAGAGAGAGTCATCGCTTGATTGATGATGATGATGGCCAGCTGCAAAGCCAGAGAGCCAGAGCCAGATTCAGACCCAGATTCAAACCCAGACCAAAGACCAAAGACCCAGACCCAAAACCCAGACCAAAGAGCCGAGCAAATAAACCACACACGCGGCAGTGGAATGCAAACAGGGCAAATGAGAGTCCCTGCTCAAACATGCAGACACTGAGAGAAATTCTCCACGAACAGCATACGCTCAACGTACCAAATCAAATCGCCGAAATTGAAAATGGGAAAAACCAAACCAAAAACAAAAATATGAGAATGTAAAATAATAAACAACTTTGTCTTGAAGAGTATGGAACGCTTTGCCAACAAATTAACGGAAATGAAGCACAAGAAAGGGGCGTGGGCCGTCGCCGGGGGGCGGAACGGGGGCCGGGGGCGTGGCAGCTTCCGAGCGGAAGTGAACGGAATGAGAATCAGAACCTACAACAAGAACCAGCACACAAAAGCCGTCGAACTTCATTTCCGTTAAGATTTTTGTTGCAAAAGTCAGAAATTGAATTCATGTTGATACTTTTTGCCTATGATGCAATTTTTCATTTGATTTTATAATTTTCCACTTTCTGTGTGCCACCACCTCCACCTCCCCCCTCCCCCACTGAGTTTTTATTTGTTTTTTTTTTTGTGTTTTTCTGTAAATACATTATGTCTTCTTAAGCCCGCCTACCGCCAAACACCCCACCCCCTCTTTGTAAGATATGTTTTACCCACTTTTTTCTTTTCGGTTTTATTTCCTTTTGTTTCGGAAAACCCACTTTTTGTACATACCCGAAAAGTCTCGACCCGAAAAAATCGTCTGTAAATGTGTTTTAATTTCTTTTCTTGGCAAAATTTCCGAGCAAGACACTTTTTATGTTCCCTCTTTATTGGATGGCATTTATTTGTACCATGTATTGGATATCTCTCTGTGTGTATATACCTACTAAAACTGTGTGTGCGTGAAATTTAAGCAAACGAAAGCCAAGAGCTGCAAAATCGAAAGCCTCTCTTAAGACATCCTCCCGTACATTTTGAGTTTGACACATTTTATATACCTTGTATACTCATAGGTGAATACAGTTGCCTCAAAGTCGATCTACTATTCAAGCGAGAATTCTCATATTACTTAATACAAATTTATATACCATGCTGTATGTTGGTCATTGTATCATGGGTATCATTCTGGCTGGATCAAGGAGCAGTGCCGGCGCGTGTGTCACTGGGTAAGTCCAAGATTTTTAATGAATGTTTGTTATTCCATAAATTTTACATTACTTAAATCGTATTTTTGAATCGAATTTATAAGAACAAACTATTGATAAACAATTAAGTGGTTAACTAAAAATAAAGATATCCATTAAAAACTTTTTACCACTCATAAAATCACCTTTAGGGAATTCACTTTAAAATGATTAACATAATGTAATTTCCAATGAATACTTTATGAAATTGCCAAGTTATTTCAGTACTGTTATCTGAAGTGATAAAATAATTATATTAAGAACACATTGGTCTTGACTAAACCTATCTTCAATTGTTTCAGATCTATATCTAAAATTTACCCATAGTATTAATGTTAATAATAATAAGATATAAATAAATATTTAGGAAGAGTAGACTTTGATAAGAACTAATCTCATATATCGAGTGATATATATATAACTTTGTTTTAGGGACTTGACCCTTCGTAGCTCACACCCCTACCCAACTCTTTTTGCAGGTGTCACCACCCTACTGACCATGGCCACCCAGACGTCGGGCATCAACGCCTCCCTGCCGCCCGTTTCCTATACGAAGGCCATCGATGTGTGGACAGGCGTGTGTCTGACGTTCGTGTTCGGGGCCCTGCTCGAGTTCGCCCTGGTGAACTATGCATCCCGTTCAGGTTCGAATAAAGCTAGTAATTGAAATTTTATATGCTTCTTAACCACATATAAATGTTAATTAATCGATGGTGTTTATCTTTTTTCTGTTGTTTTATTGTACTGAGTGATAACGAATATACGTACATATCTATATAGTAGCCATATATAAATGTCTACGCATACTGTACATACAACAACGAAACTCTGAACAACGCCACACTCAATATCACACACACACTCTCGAGTACTCACTGTGGACCGTTATATCAGAACACTCACACACGCAGGACCGGCGTGGCACACAACAACCAGAACAACCAGAACCTGTTTCGGGCTATATCGATCTATATATCCATATAGACGTACCCCCAACGTACCTATCTATATGTCTCTTAAGCGAAAGCCCAACGATTTAGTAGTAGTGTTCTTTAACCGATTTGTTACCTTATTTACTTTTCACTTTGATATCTAACCACTAAATGGGTCCATCGTGTGTATCAAACTAATCCAACTTTTTGTTTTACTCTCTTATTTCATTGTGCGCCCACCATTCATCGACATGCATACGAACACACCACCCACTCACACCCACACACTGACATGCACTATCCACACAAAAACCAACCAATACGAACTACCCCACGAACTTTAAAACGCGTTTGAAAAAACCAAAAAATTGTAAACAAATTGGTCGAATTTCCTTTTGAATTACTACGAATTCTGTTCGGTTCCTTGCTGTTGTAAAACATTGCTTGTAAATAACTACAAACTGTGTGTGTATCCACCGATCTGTGTGGTAATCGAACTATGTTTTGCGTACCCCCTGACCCCATCGATATATTTGCACTCGAATAATTTTTTTTTTTTGTTTTTATTTCCCATTTTTCCGTTTAACATTTCGAATTGTTTGACGTTTTCTGTATGTGTGACTCTCTCTCTGTCTTTCTCTTTCTGACTGTCTCTATCTCTGTCTCGCCTAAACTCTATCGCTGTCTAACTGTAAACTGTATTAACCGTGTTTAACTGTCTAACTAAACTAACACACCCAATAAAACCTGTAAAAAATTCAAAAACCAAAACAAAATTAACACCAAATCACCCAACTGCCGTGGAACAAATAAATTCTTGTCAAACATCTTCCATCACATGCAACATATATCTATGATATATACGGATCGGGCCGCAGACATGCATAAGGAGAATATGAAAAAGAAGCGCCGCGATCTGGAGCAGGCCAGTTTAGATGCCGCTTCAGATCTGCTCGATACAGATAGCAATGCAACGTTCGCAATGGTACTTACCTCTTGATATATCTCTTTAAAATCCAAAAACAGCTTATGGTTTTATGGGGGGTCTTAGCTGAGGGTGGGAAGATAGTTCTTTATCAGCCTCACTCTCTCTTTTTTATTTTGACCTTTGAGCTGTCTTTGAACAGGGGAACCTTAACAGCTCGTTTTGGTTTTTAAAACAATATACAAACCATAATTGGCTAAAACAAAATTGTTATGATAAAACTATTAAAACAACTATTTCCTTTTATATTTGCCTCTTTTTTATTACCACAAAAAAACAAAACCCAACCAAAAACAAATGCAAAATTCAACAACTTTTTTCAAACGTGCTCATCCCAACTACAACTACAACTACAATAACAACAACAACCAAAAACCACCCCAACATCAACAACCAACCACAAATAAACTGAAAATAAAACCTGAAAATGCAAAAAAAAAACCTGAAACAACCTTCCACCAACCAACCAACCATCACCGAACATCGCTGGCAACCAAAACAAACCACTCGACCGGAATTGAATTGAAAAATTGCGACGAAATTAAATCAAATTACGCACATGCCAATGCACTTTGCCCCACCCCGATTCACCGATCCATCGAACAATCGAATCACCAAACAAAACCGAAACCGAACCACCCAACTCAACTCAACTCAACCACCTGCGACCCTCATTTACATCCGACTACAATCGCAACTTTCATGTCAAACGGCGTCGCAATTTGCGCGCGGTGGTGGCCAACAGAAACCGCTAGTTCGCCATCCCGGCGATCCTTTGGCCCTCGAGAAGCGGCTCCAGTGCGAGGTGCACATGCAGGCCCCGAAGCGACCCAACTGCTGCAAGACCTGGCTGTCCAAGTTCCCAACAAGGTAACGCAAGGGATTCCAAATCCCGAACCACTCGATCCTACCATGTAGCGACCTCGTTTAGTTCCATATGTGTTCCGTAGTAGTTGATGGATTTACTTTTTGATGTTGTGAACATGTACTATTCTACTCTTTATATCTCTTTCACTAACTCTTGTTGACTTTTTGCTATCACATAACTCTACAGTCATTGAAAAAACCTGTGAAAGATACCGAAACGAATAACCAAAGAATACCAAACCCGATATCTGCCGCTTGCTTGCCGTTCGTTCGATTCTGTTTGCCCGCTGTCTCTTTTGTTGCCAAATCAAATAACAATAATGAAAATGAAACTGAAAATGAGTAAAATGACGTGGTTTAATTGCTTGCCGAACTCCGAGCCGAGTACTCGTAAATGTGAAATATGAAACTGAATTTCTATATGTTTTTAATTGAGTTGATTCGTGTTGAAATTGAACCCCGTGCGTCGAGCAGCCGCTCGATGGATTATGCTTTGCCTTTCAGTCATTTTGAGTGTGATTTGTTTGTTTTAAAATACGTAACTATTTAGTTGTAGACCTTGAGATTCGATTTGCCCGAATAGACCCAAGTAATAGTTGTCCCGGCATCCTGGACCCACCGATGATGCTAGCTTTTTCCCCTCTGTAGATATTTACTCCCCAGAAAGCGCACTTTTCGTTTCCCGCACGTAGTGTTTAATCCCCCTTTTAAAACAAACAAATTATTTTGCCGAATTTGGAACTTTTCAAAAAACGATGATAAAAAAAAAACAAAGAACAACCAATCAAGTAATCACAAAAATCAAAAAGCCAATCTTTAGATGATCAATTAATTTGCATTTTCGTTCATGTTTAATATCCAAAGACAATGTTCTAGATCCAAGAGAATCGATGTTATATCGCGGATCACCTTCCCGCTGGTCTTCGCCCTGTTCAACCTGGTCTACTGGAGCACATATCTCTTCAGGGAGGAGGAGGATGAGTAAATGCCGTTACCTATTGCCAAATACACCAATTACTTTATAGAAGAGTTGGCGCTGTTGGCCAACACGAATGTACTAACCTATTCTTTCATTCTTTTCCATTTCGGTTGTCCTCATTTCATGCTTTGTGTTGCTTATGGCTTTGTTCTGGCTTCATTTCCAATTTGACTTGAATTGATTTCTTGATTGACACCCTGATTGAATGGTTTAAACTAAACCACTAAAGGACCTTCTAAGGCGCGTCTCTGAAATCCAGTGGCTATGTAGAATCTAATAAGAAATTAACTAATTGTACCGGATACGTTACGATTATGATATATGGCCGAGTGCTAAATGCGAAATGCTATACGTATGGTTATGTCTCGGAAAAGTGCAGAATAGTTAGGATCGGTATCCGGCAAGGCTCCAAGGCACTTCCACTAAAACAATATAATGTTCGATGAATGACAAAATTATAGTTAATTGTAAGCTAAATTGATCAAGAGTGACTGCGTAGTAGATAATGTTATGAATAATTATACGAAACACACACTGACACACACCACAACACTTGTTTGACTTGATTTGTTTTCCGAGGATGCTCCAAATTGTTACGAATTGATGAATTATTTTAGCTGGTAATCGACGATAATCGAGTTTTGTTCCGGACTTTAGCTTAGCTCTAAAAAAGTTAAAAATGAAATTGCAATTGATTTGTACTTAAATGCGTTAAGTTAGTTAAGCCGCAAAAAGCAAGTGGAGGTCGTAGACAATTCGACGTTTGTAAATATGTCATACAATAAGTTTTAAGCGCATTAGTTTAAATGAATTCTAATTGTAAAAAGCGTGTAGATAAATTTAAGTTTAGTCGATAAACAAACAACTAACCGAAGCGAAAAAAATAGGTAAATTCAAATTAATTATGTTCACCATGGAAGTAAATAAAAATTGAATCGAATCGAAAATATCGAAGAATCCTTCAAAGCACCCAGAAACAAAAACAGAATTTTATTTTCGCATTGTTTGCCCAAAACTACTCCTAAATGATAAGTTCAACTAAAACTGGTGGGTATCTGCAAGTTATTTTACACTAAATTTTATTAGAGTCTTTAAACTTTATTCATTATTTATATACGGCTTGCTTTTGATTTTAGAGTTCAATTTTTAAAGTAGTTAAATTGTTCTTGTACTCACGGGAAATAAAGCCCCAAAAATTCTGATTCCTGTTTGATTTGACTCCGTAGAGTATTATAATAAATTTACATTTACCTAATTATGTATTGGGTCGCTGAGACCACTTAGCTAGTTAATTTCCTTAATTAGTCTTATAAAATAAAAATATACAACATGCAAAACCATAAACCAATTAACAGACAATACAAAATATTTTAACATGTAGTAAGAAGAAACGACCCTTAAAAACTTAATGAATACTACACATAAAATTATTGAAATCAGTATTATAAGCCATAAATTAGATCGAGATTTATACGGTTCTTTTCATATCCAAAATATCTTTGGTTATTAAGTGCCTTTTGTATGCCAAGGAGATTTCTCCCCACTTTCTTCCCTTCTCCAGCTCTCTTCCTCTCTTTTAACTAACTATAATCCTTTCACACTCTGAAAACTTCTTCCCTAAACCCAATTAGAGAAATGCACTAACCGACACCATAAACTATGCAGCTCTAATTTTAGAATTATAACTAAAGTGAATTCTACATAGCAACAACAGAAACAGAACCAGAACCACAATAAGAACTTAAATCCTTCGATAAAATCAAATAAAATATTTTAGTAGTTTTTAATGTTTTTATTAACTTAAAGCCTGTTTTACTCTCATGTTTCTTTTAACCTTTTCTTTGGTTTCGGAAATGCTTTTCGTTTGCTATCATTTAAAACCTAAAGGTAAGAAATTAATCGTAAAATGAAATCAAAAATCAATTGAAACTTATTATAATATATAGACACTACACAAGGCACCCTGCATAATAATTGTTGTCATTAAACAAGCGTCATAAGTACGATCAGAACAGTAAGAAAACCGAAAACCGAAAACGGAAAATATTTATAGATACTTTCATGTTGTAAAAGTTGTGCCAAGCAAAGAGAAACCAAAAAACTAGTCAAAGAATACCGAAAGAGATCGCGAATTATAACTATAACTCTAGCTATAGTTGTATTGTATATGAAGCTATTGAACATACAGGGTTTTTAAATGTGAGCATATAGTTGATGAACCAGAAGAAGATCGAAAATAAAAGTAGATGGCAGCCGTAAATGGGCTGATTGATTGAAAAGCGTTGATTGATGTACTAGAAGAAAAAATAATCCCGATGAAGGTGGAAAAAACAATTAAATTAGGTCATACATACAATGGGGAGGGCGAAACACTGATTTCGGCATTTATTTTTAGTGGAAAAACATACTTAGGTTGTGTGCTGCTCTTCGTTTGCCGTTCTCCAATTCGGTCAATTATCATTTTCCCGGCAAATCGTCTAGCAGCGGCAGTCCAGTTCAATGTAAATAGTTTGGGTCAGAGCATGTAAATGCCATTTAATGGTTAGGCTAACGAGAAACACAACTACGGGAAATCGTAACACGAAATGTGCACAACTTTATATATATATATAGATGCGTTCCAAAAAGACTTACAGGTTTTGATTAACAAAGAGAAGCATAGAGATTACGAATCATTTACCAATGCGATGTAAACACGAGAAGCAGAAGAACTATGCGAACGAGTAGATCCTAAGTTAACGTATGTGTATATCCTAAGAGGCAGTTTTGAAAACCTGGCTAGTTAAAGCATTCACATAACTAAGCTACTAAGCGCCACGGCAAATTGCATTCACCACCCACTATCTGAACTCACTAACTCACTAGTCTACTCACTCACAACTCTCACCACTCACTCGATGTTTAATCTTTGCTAACGACACAAAAGAAATCAAAACGACACCCAAATCGAAATCGAAATCGAAAACGAAACTAATCTTTGCACAGTTTGTGGGAGCAAACGAGTTTGAGTAATGCAAGTTAAAATTTAGATAAATCATAACACATATCTTCCAAAAGGGGGCGGCTCATGGCCCATTTATAACAATCAAGCAACTCAAACTATAATTTCTAAAAGAAAGATGTGTAAATACAAGCGAAATACAAACAACCAAATCATTCGAATTGAAGTTGCAAAATCGAAGAGCGAATCAATAAACACTGCAAATCACCTTACTTTATAGAGCTAAGTCAGGACATGCACACTCACAAAATCAAAAAGAAAAGCAAACCGAAATCCCCAGACAGGAGAAGATTTAGCAAAGATCACACATTAGTCTTAAGACCGAACCGATTCGGAAAAGAACATCGCATGAATTTCACTGTAGTGCAATCCAATCCAATCCAAATAAGAAACGACGCCAAAAGCCACAAACAAAAGAAATTCTAAACGAACATATAGACCCGGCAATAACACATCAAAGCCGTTGGTGAGAAATTAAAACAGCAAATCAAATGCCCAAGTGAAAGATTAGTAGCATAATTTTACAAAATAGTTGAAATAATTGTTGTCACCCGAAAGGAACGAAATCCTAAAATGGAAACCATGAAAAACGAAATAATTGTGTAAAACCCCCAGAATAATGATGTTTGTGAAATGTTTATAAATAAATGATGCAAAACAAAATGAAAGAATACACAAGGTCGAGACTTTGAATTCTATTATTTATTTTTTTCTTAGAGCATTCAGTTCCTATTCTTCACGAGCAAGAAGTGAGCTTGGTTGGCCATTCGATTGGTCTTTCCATTGGCACTTCGCTTCAGATCCTCCACGATGATGGCTCCTCCGTTCAACTGCTTGTACTTTGAATCCGTCCTAGTGCTAACGTAATCCACGACATCCTGAGAAGTAAGATGGCTGCCCAGTTTCTTCACAACAGCGGCTGCAGCCTCATCTCCGTAGATATCACTCCACACCCCGAAAACACAGACCTCGGCCACGTCGGACATTTCGGAGATGATAATCTCAATATCGTTTGGATAGTACATGATGTTCTGGTACTTCAGCATCTCCTTCTTGCGGTCTACAATGTACAGGAAGCCATCTCGATCCATGTAGCCCAGGTCGCCAGAGTGAAACCATTGGTCGGGATCTCGAATAGCTCGTGACTCGACTTCGTTTCCGTAGTATCCCGACCAGTGCTGATTGCTCAGGATCCACACCTCTCCAACTTCCTCAGGTCCCAGCGCTTCACCCTCATCGCTGACTATCTTCAACCTCAAACCGTTCACCAATCGACCCACCGATCCGGGCTTCTCGTCAAAGATAGGGTTAATTGTAGCCACTGCACCCAGTTCCGTGAATCCATAAGCGAACTGAAGGCAACCCGCTCTCAGGCGACTTCGGATGCTTTTCTGGATCTCAATCGCAGCCCGTGATCCTCCATAATAGTAGCGTCGAAGACTGGACAGATCGCAAGTCTCAAATTCTGGAGAATTAGCCATCAAGGCCATGCAGGAGGGAGGCTGAATGGTCCACGTAACCTTGTACTCCTCAATGACTCTCATGGCAAAGGCGGGATCAAAGGCATTATCCCCAATAATACGGGTTGTGCTGAACACTCCAGAAGTTATTGTGGTCAGTAGACCGGTCATCCAGTCGAGGGTGTTGTGAGAGTACTGGACATCAGCAGTTGTCAGATGACTTAAGGTATAAAATAATAAAAAAAAGTTTAAAGAGGTCAATGCATATCCCATCTAACATCTTACTAGTTTCCTACGAAGATATGATGACTATTGGTAATGGTTACAGCCTTTGGAGTTCCGGTGGTTCCAGAGGAGCAGAGAATTGCTAGAGTCTGATCGTTGCCGTGTTCCAGTTTAGCTGGCTGGAAGTCTACTTCAACGGGAGTGGCCAGAACTTCATCGATCCGAATGGAATCCCTGGCATGATTACGCATGGTAACGATCTTTACATCCAGTTTAGAAGTGGCATCTCGTACCTTCTCGAACTCATCGCCATCGCAGAAAATAAGTCGTGGCTTTGTAATGTTGTAGACCTTTTCAATTGTATCGCGATCATAAGAAGTATTGAGCGAGTGGAAGGCGATGCCATTGAAGAAGCAGGCGTAGGTAACGGCGAAGATGTGGGTGGTATTTCTACCAATAATCCCCACAACATCGGATTAAAGAAGTCCTTCGGAGCGCATAAAGCTGGCCACTCGAATCGAGTTGGCAAGGAGTTCCGCCCTCGTTAACACTGTATTCTCCGTAGCCGAAATCTAGAAGAATTCAAATGTCACATTCATTCAAGTAAATGAACTTAAGAAGTACCTACCTGAGCTACAAGTTGTGGATGCCGCCGCATCTCATTAAAAATGATCTCTCCAATAGATAGAAGCGGGTGAAAATATTTCGTAGTCTCCTCACCAGTCCAGATCTTTTGATCTTCATCGTAGGAATTCGCCGGAGTGTTACGCATTTTTTTAAAGTCACTCTGGTAAAGTTAGATTTGAACTGGTGTAGATTCCCCGCGGCAGACTCTCTTTTATAGATCGCTCACATTCGCTTATCATATTCAGATAGCAAATTTGGGAGATATAAAATAGCATATCATCTGGCAGCAGCTTTTCAAAAAGTGTAACTAAAAATAACGCAATTTGTTTGGATCGTGTCAATAAGATTTGATCACAGTATCTCTTCTAATCGCAAAGTGTAGTCCATCCCTAGTTTATTATGTGATCTTACGTTAAAATAAGTTTTACAATATTTTCATCTAAGTGTAGCCCATGGGGATAAATTCGGAAACCATCTCAGCAAAAATTACTTGGCCCTCAAAAATGTCTCGGGACAAGTTGTTTCGGAGGTAACTTCTTAACCAGATGGCTCTTAGAAAGTTAAGCTGATATGTAGACTTAACTATCTTATCAATGTTGTTGTTTGTTGGACGCCTTAAGTTTATGGCAATTCATCCTGCAAGACTAATGTCTTGGTTCCGATCTGTGCTTATCTGACCGTGGGAATGTCACTCCTATCTATAATAACATAGCATAATGTCGAACGACTTTTGATTTTTCCGCAAAATAAATATAGGTCCCATGAATTTTTGTATAAATTCAATCAAGTTTAATATATATTATATACACACAAATCAAAACGAAACTAATCTTTACACAGTTTGCGGGACAAACGAGTTTGAGTAAAAAAGGGAGAGGCTCATGGGCCTTGGCATTCATCTCCTGTCCCTCACATGCAAGAAGTGAGCTTGGTTGGCCAATCGATTGGTCTTCCCATTGGCACTTCGCTTTAGATCCTCCACGATGATCGCTCCTCCGTTTAACTGCTTGTATTTTGAATCCGTCCTAGTGCTAACGTAATCGACAACATCCTGAGAAGTAAGATCGCTGCCCAGTTTCTTCACAACAGCCGCTGCAGCCTCATCTCCGTATATATCACTCCACACCCCGAAGACACAGACCTCGGCAACGTCGGGCATTTCGGATATGACACTTTCAATGTCGTTGGGATAGTACATGATGTTCTGGTACTTGAGCATCTCCTTCTTGCGGTCCACAATGTACAGGAAGCCATCTCGATCCATGTAGCCCAGGTCGCCAGAGTGAAACCATTGCTGGTGATCGCGAATAGCTCGTGACTCGACTTCGTTTCCGTAGTATCCCGACCAGTGCTGATTATTCATGATGCACACCTCTCCAACTTCGTCGGGTCCCAGCGACACACCCTCTTCGTTCACTATCTTCAACCTCAGACCGTTGACTAGTCGCCCCACCGATCCGGGTTTCCCATCAAAGTTAGGGTTGATGGTGGCCATTGCGCCCAGTTCAGTAAATCCATATACGAACTGAAGGCAGTCCACGCTCAGGCGACTTCGGATGCTTTTCTGGATCTCAATCGCAGCCCGAGATCCTCCGAACATGTAGCATCGAAGGCTTGATAGGTCGCAAGATTCGAAATCTGGACAATTAGTCATTAAAGCCATACTGGAGGGAGGCTGAATGGTCCACGTAACCTTGTACTCCTTAATGATTCTCATGGCGAAGGCAGGATCAAAGGCATTATCCGCAATAATACGAGTTGTGCTAAATACTCCAGAGGTTATGGTGGTCAGCAGGCCGGTGATCCAGTCGAGGGTGTTGTGGGAGTACTGGACATCAGCGGTGGTTAGATGGCTACAGATATAAAATAAAAAAAAAGTTTAAGGAGGTCAATGGAAATTCTAAATGTCTTCTTACTAGTTGCCCGTTAGAATATGACGACTATTGGTAATGGTCACAGCCTTTGGAGTTCCCGTTGTTCCCGAGGAGCAGAGAATTGCTAGAGTCTGATCGTTGCCCTGTTCCAGTTGAGCTGGCTGGAAGTCTACTTCAACGGAAGTGGCCAGAACTTCATCGATACGAATGGAATCCGAAGGATGATTGCGCATGGTTACAATCTTCACATCCAGTTTAGAGGTGGCATCTCGTACCTTCTCGAACTCATCGCCATCGCAGAAAATAAGTCGTGGCTTTGTAATGTTGTATACTTTTTCGATTGTATCGCGATCATATGAAGTATTGAGCGAATGGAAGGCGATGCCATTGAAGAAGCAGGCGTATGCCACAGCCAACATGTGGGTGGTATTCCTACCAATAATCCCCACAACATCGGATTGAAGAAGTCCTTCGGATCGCATAAAACTGGCCACTCGCATTGAGTTGGCAAGGAGTTCCGCTCTCGTCAGCACTGTGTTCTCCGTTGCCGAGATCTAGAAGAATTCAAATGTCACTTTCTTTCTAGCAAATGACCTTGAGAAATACCCACCTGAGCTACAAGCTGTGGATGCCGCTGCATCTCATGAAAAATGATCTCTCCAATAGACAAATGCGGGTCAAAATATTTCGTAGTCTCCTCACCAGTCCAGATCTTTTGATCTCCATCGTAGGAACTCGCCGGAGTGTAAGGCATTTTTCTTTAATTCACTTTGTCTAGCTTGTAAAGTTAGATATCAACTGGTGGAGATTCCCCGCTGCAAGATCTCTTTTATAGATCGGAGCGTTCACATGCCCTTATCATATTCAGATAACAAATTGTGAAGCGAAGTCAAACAAATACTGGTCAAACTTGGTGAAACAAGGTATTCTGGCAGTAGCTGTTAAGAAAGTGTAATAAAAGATAACGTGTTTCACTTGGATCGTGTTATTAAGATTTGATCACAATAGTAATTGTTAAGGGGGTTATCTATATTTGCAGTCGTAAAATATCTCATCTAATCACGCAATGAGGACAATTTGTTATTTATTACATCTAAAAAGGAATTACCTAACTTTTTTAACGAAATCATGTAAATGAAATCTTCCTGGTGAAATTATAAGCTTACGTCTAGAATTTTACAATATTTGCCTGCAGATCTCACATATGTGGAACAATTACTTTGCTCTCATAAATGTCACGGGACATGTTGTTTAGGAGGTAACTTCTTTGCCAGATGATTATCAGTAAAGTCCGCGAAGAGATTTCATTACATATCACATCCACTTTCTGTCGTATCATCGTTGTTCGTTGGACCTCTTAAGTTTATGGCAATGTATGGTAGAGTGACTACGCCAGCTTCTTGGTTCCGATCTGTGCTTATCTGACCGTGGGAATGACACTCTTATCTTAGATTACATAGCAAGTGCGATTTTCGATTTTTGCGCTAGATAATGCCAAAATAGGTCACATTAAATCTTTCAATACATTTTTTTTAGTGTATAATAAAAATAATGCAATTTACCCAAACATAAAAACCAAAAGCCATATTTTCTCCAACATCACAAGATTCATTTTTGTTTAATAAAAATAAATGCAGCGCGCGTTACTACTTTTTAAATAAAAGCTAGTTTAATATATTTAAGACCTTGAATATTATAAAATTACCAAGCTAAAAAGACGAAACCAAGTAAAATAAATAAAAATGTCCCTTATTTTAAAAGGTATAAAGTCTAATGACCCAAAACTAAGTGAAGAAAAAGAGTGCACGTAGATAACATTTAATTATACCCGTTACTCGTAGAGTAAAAGGGTATATTAGATTCGTGCAAAAGTATGTAACAGGTAGAAGGAAGCGTTTCCGACCCTATAAACTATATATATTCTTGATCGGGATCACTAGCCGAGTCGATCTAGCCATGTCCGTCTGTCCGTCTGTCTGTCCGTCTGTCTGTCTGTCTGTCTGTCTGTCTGTCTGTATGAACGCTGAGATCTCGGAAACTATAAAAGCTAGAAGATTGACATTTTGCATGCAGATTCTAGGAGTTCCTACGCAGCGCAAGTTTGTTTCAAAAGGGTGCCACGCCCCCTCTAACGCCCACAATCGCTTATATACGATTTTAAAAATTGCAATATTTTGGAAAAGTAAAAATGCAGTTTTATTGTGTTTATCAATACCTATCGAAATGTAGAAGAAATTTTTTAAATCGGACCATTCGTTAAAAAGTTACGGCGGATCAAAGTTTTTCTCCATCTCTTTCGCACTCCCTTTAGCTGAGTAACGGGTATCTGATAGTCGGGGCACCCGACTATAGCGTTCTCTCTTGTTTTGTAGTAAAAACATGTAGATTATCTGTAAATGTAAAGAGACAAAATTACAAGTAGAGTAAATAAAATATTGCGATGTAAACACGAGAAGTACTTGTAGATCCTAAGTTAACATTTAACATACTTGTAGATCCTAAGAGTTCATTCGAAACCAGTCTAGCAAAGGTATATCGTAAATACAATTTTTCATGAGCCTCAAAAAAGTACACATCCGGTGGATATCTTAACTGGTGGCAGAATCATCAACAAACTATAAAGTAAATTGTAAAGTAAATCTACTACTTAAACGCCCTCATTAAAACAAACTAATATATTTTCGTTTTTAAATTTAATTAGTAAAAATTAAAAATTTTCAAACTTAAACTAGCACTTTTAATTCTATTATTTATTTATAATCCTCTAGAGCTATCATGTCCTATGTGCAGAAAGTGAGCTCTGTTGGCCATTCTATTGGTTTTCCCGTTGGCACTTCGCTTCAGATCCTCCACGATGATCGCTCCACCGTTCAACTGCTTGTATTTGGAATCCGTCCGGCTGCTTACATAGTCCACAACATCCTGGGATGTAAGATCGTTTCCGAGTTTCTTTACAACAGCGGCTGCAGCCTCATCTCCGTAGATATCACTCCACACCCCGAAGACACAGACCTCGGCAACATCGGACATCTCGGAGATGACACTCTCAATTTCGTTGGGATAGTACATGATACCCTGGTACTTGAGCATATCCTTCTTGCGGTCCACAATGTACAGGAAACCATCTCGATCCATATAGCCCATGTCGCCAGAGTGAAACCATTGCTGTGGATCGCGAACGGCACGTGACTCAACTTCGTTTCCGTAGTATCCCGACCAGTGCTGATTGTTCATAATGCACACCTCTCCCAATTCGTCGGGTCCCAGCGATTCACCCTTATCGTTGACTATCTTCAACTTTAACCCGTTGACCAACTGACCCACCGATCCGGGTTTCTCGTCAAAGTGACAGTTTACGGTGGCCTTGGCACCCAGTTCTGTGAATCCGTAAGCGAACTGAAGGCAATTCTTGCTCAGGCGACTTCGAATTCTTTTTTGTACCTCAATGGCCGCCCTTGATCCCCCAAAACATGAAGCTTCGAAGGCTGGACAGGTCGCAAGTCTCAAACTCTGCACAGTTAATCATCAAAGCCATTGCGGTGGGCGACTGTATAGTCCACGTAACCTTGTACTCCTCAATGACTCGCATTGCAAATACGGGTTCGAAAGCATTATCCGCAATAATACGAGTTGTGCTGAACACTCCAGAGGTTATTGTGGTGACCAGGCCGGTAAGCCAGTCGAGGGTGTTGTGGGAGTACTGAACATCAGCGGTGGTCAGATGGCTGCGGATATAATATATTGAAAAAGTTAGGATAGTTCAATGGAAAACTTATATAACAAGGTCTTACTAGTTGCCCGCTAAGATATGACGACTATTGGAAATGGTTACAGCCTTTGGAGTTCCGCTTGTCCCCGAGGAGCAGAGAATGGCCAGATTCTGATCGTTGCCATGTTCCAGTTGTGCTGGCTGGAAGTCTTCTTCAATGGGAGTAGCCAGAACTTCTTCGATTCGAATGGAATCCGTGGGATGATTACGCATGGTAACGATCTTCACATCCAGTTTAGAGGTGGCATCTCGTACCTTCTGGAACTCATCGCCATCGCAGAATATAATACGGGGCTTTGTAATGTTATATACCATTTCGATTGTATCGCGATCATATAAAGTATTGAGCGAATGGAAGGCGATGCCATTGAAGAAGCAGGCGTATGCCACAGCCAACATATGGGTGGTATTCCTACCAATAATCCCCACAACATCGGATTGAAGAAGTCCCTCTGATCGGAAAAAGCAGGCCACGCGCATCGAATTGGCAAGGAGTTCGCTTCTGGACAGCACTGTGTTCTCCGTAGCCGAGATCTAGAAGAATTCAAATTGCACTTTCTTTCCGCTGAAAGACCTTGAGAAGTACCCACCTGAGCTACAAGCTGTGGATGCCGCCGCATCTCTTGGAAAATTATCTCTCCAATGGACAAGTGCGGGTCAAAATATCTCGTAGCTTCCTCACCACTCCAGATTTTTTGATCTTCATCGTAGGAATTGTCAGAGATGTAAGGCATTTTCTTTAAGATTTACTTTGTCTTGCTGGTAATGTGAAATATTAACTGTTGATGTTTCCACACTGCAGACTCCCTTTTATACATAGCACCGTTCACATAGGCCTATCACATTTAGATTACAAGTATGGAAGGGACGGCAAACAGAAATACAATAGCATATCGTCTAGCAGCAGGAGCTGTTTAAAAAGTGTAACTAAAGATAACGCGCTTTGCAGGGTCATGTCTACAAGATATGATCCCAATATCGTGGTAGGTGATAGTAGGTTATCTACATTTCAATCGCAGAAACTCTTCTTATAGCACAAATTAGTCCATCGCTTAATTACTACTTCTAAAGAGAACTGAATTAACTTAAATTATGAGCGAATCTTGAGCATTTAATCATCAATCGTGGTATAAATTGCTGAAAAATGTATTGGCCACTCGAGTGAAAAATTAAAGGAACTTTTGTATTCCGAAACTATGCAACAAAAAATTGTTATAATATTACCCCCACAACAAAATCTTAGATCCGCCACTGTGTCAAGGGATATGTTGTTTAGCTGATAACTTTTCTGCCAGGTATTATCAGTTACGAAAAGATTTCATTACATATCAGCTTAGTTTACCGTCTTATCTTCCTTGCTGGTTGGACGCCGTAAGATTGGTTCCGATCTGTGCTTATCTGACCGTGGTAATGAAGCGTTTATCTGGAATTACATAGCAAATGCGAATTTCGACTGCCAAAATTAATCACGTGAAATTTTTTTTAAAATTAATTTTTTAAAGGTTACATTAAAATTTTAATACATTTAAAAAACGTACATTTTGTACCTTTTCGGATTTTGAATCATCCAGTTATTGACTAACCTGTATCGGGTATATAACATGTAGATAACATTAAATGTCAACTTGTAAATGTAGAAGTAAAGAAATATATGTATAGTAGATAACTTTACATGTAGATATAATTACACGTAGTTCTCTTTATACACTCATAGGTGGCACGTTGCATAAGACAAAATACCCGTTACACAATTAAACGTATGGTATTTGGTATAATTGGTATTTATTGGAACATTCATTCTAAAATATTTTTATACCTGTTACTCGTAGAGTAAAAGGGTTTCCGACCCTATAAAGTTATATTCTTGATCAGGATCATTAGCCGAGTCGATTAAGCCATGTCTTACCGTCTATAAAAGCTAAAATAATGCGATTAACCATGCAGATTCTTTGGTTTCCTGTGCAACGAAAGTTTTGCTTTTCAATAGCTTTATAAATTAATTAAGAATAACTTAAGATTATGAATAGTTAACCTGCGCCACATTTTAAAAGATGCTTTATTAAACAGCAAATAACTGTTGACGGAGGGGTCAGCTTGATAATCATCTGATTCGCCAAACGGTTTTCCACAGCGATGTCGTGTCAAGCGAAACTCTGGGCAATCAATAGGTGAAATTAAATATCCGGACACTTTAACTGCTAAATTGCCGGCTAATTTTTGCAATTTCGTTGACCTTTAAATAGAGCCGTCGGCAGGCGAGTGTGCAACAGTTGCAAACCGCGCGTGCATCACGATGTTGGACCTAAACGGCAATCCCGCGACCACCTACGATCCGGAACAGAAGGTGTGGAGTGGTTCCAGCCAGCAAAGTCTCTACAACGACGAGCTGACTGTGGGCCAGATCATCTTCCGCCAGCTGCAGCGGCAGTCCCAAAGGATATTCCAGATATCGCACACGGATAATACGCGGCTAACCCGATCGCAGATGCTGCAAAATGCGGCCAAGATTGGCTGCTATCTGCGGGATCAAGGATTCAAAAAGGAAACGGACCTGGTAGGACTAATGGCCCGTAACTCCACGCATGTGGGAGCTTTGGCCTACGGCTGTCTGTTCAACGGGACTCCCTTTCACGCCGTGAATCCCAATCTGGAGCAGAAGACCATCGCCAGTCTTTACAAGATCACCAAGCCCCGCATCCTTTGCTGCGACATTGGGGACTATGAAAAGATCAAGGACATAGGAGCCACGCTAGGAGCTCTGATCATGACTGTCAATGGGAAGATACAGGGTGTGATGAGTGTCGCAGATCTGCTGCAGAATCCCCTGCCCGAGGACTACGAGCCCGCGAAGTTCCAGCGTGGTGTCGATCGCACCATGGCCATCCTCTGCTCCTCGGGCACCACCGGGACTCCCAAGGCGGTGACCCTCTCAAATAGTCGCAAGCTATTCGAGATTCACAGGTAGGTTTTTCAAAGATATACATCTCTTACTTAAACTTGCGTTATTTTGGTGGTTCGGGTCACAAAAAATAACAAATTGGGGTCACCAAATAACAGATTAGGGTCACCAAGTAGGAAATCCAGGAGATTTGTATCCATTCACAAGCAGTTCATTGTTTATTTGATTGGTATTAAGCCACAAGTATTTAAAATAAGCTTTACCTTTAAAGGAGGTAACAAGCAACATAGCTTCTTATTTTTCCTTTTTTTCCAGCTACCTGGGTTCCGATGACGTGCAATACGCGCCCAGCACCTTGGATTGGCTCACAGGACTCATTACCCTGGTCACGGCTGGAGTTTTTGGCACAGTTCGTCTGATTTCGAGTGAAATGTTCAGTACCGCCCACTTCTTGGACATTTGTGAGCAGCACGAGATCTCCTGGACCATCATGGCCAACTCCCATGTGGCCATGTTGGCCAATTGCCATAACACCAAAGCACAAAGGCTAAGAAGTCTGAGGCATTTGCTCTTTGCTGGAGGTCATTGCCTGGTGGCCACTTTGAAGAAGATGCAATCATTCCTTCGTGGATCGGGAATACTAAGAAATGCCTATGGCCTAACGGAGGTGGGAACCCTGATATCCTACAACTACGACACCCAATCTAAGCCCACTTCAGTGGGTCGTTTAATGGCCAATATTCGGGTAAAGATTGTGGACTCCTCGGGGCAGTTGCAGGGCCCCAAAGGATTGGGTGAGGTGCTCTGCCACAATGGACAACCCTGGAGCGGTTATGTGGGAAATCCCCAGGCCACGGCGGAGATGAGAGATTCGGCTGGATGGTATCACACCGGCGATGTGGGCTACTTCGACGAGGATCACTGCCTGCACATTGTGGAGCGCAAGAAGGATATGCTGAAGTACCTGGGCATGATGTACTATCCCCATGAGGTGGAGGAGGTGATCGCCCAGATTCCCGAAGTGGCAGAGGTCTGTGTCTTTGGCATCTGGCGGGAGACGGAGGGCGATGCCGCCGCTGCGTCTGTAGTCCTACGATCCGGTAGTAAATTGGATCCCAAACAAGTCGAGCAGTTTGTTCGCAAAAACGTATCCGTGCAGTTCAAGCATCTCCACGGCGGAGTCCAGATTGTTCCGCAGCTGGCGAAGAGCGCCAATGGCAAGGTCAATCGACATGCCGTCAAAGCGGCCTACTTGAGGGATGTGACCCAGTCCTAGAATCTATTGATAACAACACCATCAACAATTACCAAGCATAAACTTTGTTAAAATGTAAGCGATGACGAGGCACAAAAAGAGTAAGAAATTCAGTGAACACAAGATATACTAAATATAAAAAGTATTAAACAAATATATTTTCCATTGTAATAGTTAAATGGTTTGCTTTGGTGAGACAAGCTTGTTAGTTTGGAAAGTATTAGATAAAGGTAGCAGGAACCAGTATTACAGCTGTCTGATAAGCGTCACATTATTTAACTGCAAAACTGCAAAAAACAAATAAATAAAATCAACCTCTTAATTAACGTTTAAGATTTAATTAGAGATAATAGTCAGTAAAAGTGAGTAGTCTTTTCTAATAATTTCTAAGCTAATACAAGCTATTATTTCAGAGGTATATACAAAGCTTCCGGAAAGCTTCTTCTATATCTCTATCTCAGTTAATAGCTTTAACTTCTAATCGATATGCCAATATTTACAAGGCACATGCAATGCAATATATACTCACCAGTCTCAATCGAGAATATGCCGAGTCATTGCGAGAGGCACAGCCTCAAATGTTGGGGGTCTGCCTACCGCCAATTTCTCGAACAGAAGGCGAGTGTTTTGTTATGGAGATTGCTCACTTGCTCGACTACTTTGATCACAAGTGCTGCTGTAATCGCGTGTCGGTGTAATCAGTGCAAACCTGCTACTCGTACGCCCCGAAAGTTATCTAAAACAGTTTGCGAATAGATCGCTCGGCTCTATAAAAGGAGGGCTGCCGCTGCACTTTGCATTCAGTCGCGAATTTAAACGTTATTAAGACAGTGACACAGAATGCCGTACAGACCAGCGAACTTCTACGATGCTGATCTCAAAGTCTGGAGCGGTGGCAAATTGGAATACTACTTTGACCCACATCTGTCCATCGGAGAGATAATCTTTCAGGAGATGCGGCGGCATCCGCAGCTCATAGCTCAGGTGGGTAGACCTCAAGGTTTCCCAAAGAACTAAAGTGATCATTCAAACTAACTATTTAGATCTCGGCTACTGAGAACACGATACTCACCAGAGCGGAGCTCCACGCCAACTCGATGCATGTGGCCAGCTTTATGCGATCCGAGGGACTTCTTCAATCCGATGTGGTGGGGATTATTGGCAGGAATACCACCCACATGTCCGCCGTTGCCTACGCCTGCTTCTTCAATGGCATCGCCTTTCACTCGCTCAACATTTCGTACGAACAGAGTACCATCGAAAAGTTATTCGAGATCACCAAGCCCCGACTTATTTTCTGCGATGGCGATGAGTTCGAGAAGGTTCGAGCTGCCACCTCTCAACTGGATGTGAAGATCATCACCATGCGCAATCATCATAGGGATTCCATCCGGATAGATGAAGTACTGGCTACTCCCATTGAGGTGGACTTCCGGCCAGCTCGCCTGGAACAGGGTAACGATCAGACTCTGGCCATTCTCTGCTCCTCGGGCACAACGGGAATTCCAAAGGCTGTGACCATTACCAATAGTCGACAGATCCTCAATAATAGCCAGTAAGTAAGGTCCTTGTAGCTAGAGATCCTGAAGTAATCGATCTTTCCCTAGCGTTCTGACCACCAACGACGTTCAGTACACCCACAGTACGCTCGACTGGATCACCGGACTTCTGACCACCGTCACATCGGGTGTCTTTAGCACCAAACGAATCATAGCCGACAATGTCTTCGATCCGGCTTTCTTTATGCGACTCGTCGAGGAGCACCAGATCACGTGGATTATCCAGGCACCTGCCCACATGGCCATGATGGCCAACTCACCGGCTTTCGGCACCTCCGACTTGTCAAGCCTGCGGTTCTACCTTTTTGGAGGATCTCGGGCTTCGGTGGAGACGCAGCATTTGATAAGAAATCGCCTCAGCAAGGACTGCCTGCACTTTGCCTACGGGTTTACTGAGCTGGGCAGCATGGCCTCCATGAACTTTCACTTCGACGAGAAGCCCAATTCGGTGGGTCGATTGGTGACGGGCATGAAGCTGAAGGTAATCTGCGAAAAGGGCGAGTCCCTGGGACCCGACGAAGTGGGCGAGCTGTGCCTCTGCAACGATCAATACTGGGCCGGGTATTACGGCAATCCGGAGGAAACGCACAAGATGCGAGATCCTCAGATGTGGTTCCACAGCGGAGACCTCGGATTCGTGGATGACGATGGCTTCATTTACATTGTGGAGCGCAAGAAGGACATGCTCAAGTACCAGAACATCATGTACTATCCAAATGAGATCGAGAGTGTCATCTCAGAGATGCCGGACGTGGCCGAGGTCTGTGTCTTCGGGGTGTGGAATCAGATCTCCGGGGACGAGGCCACTGCCGCCGTGGTTAAAAGGGTGGGCAGTGGACTCACAGCCCAGGATGTCGTCGATTACGTAGCCACACATATCGATGCCAAGTACAAACAGTTGAATGGAGGAGCCATCATCATGGAGGATCTGGTGCGCAGTCCCAATGGCAAGACCAACCGCATGGCCACCAAAGCCTTCTTCTTGGAGGCCAAGAATGCTAGCTAAACAGAAAATCTCAAAATATATTTTTTGTATCAAAGAATTGTCACAAAGTTGCTAGAGAAACCAATAAAATTACAATCTAACTTTATGGGGTGCAGTTTTCTCAAAAATATGTGAATTCTATTTATTAGTTAAAAATTTAAATAGTTGAAATTCAATTTAAATTGATTTAGTTTATTGTCAAGCTTTTTTTTTGTACGATTAAATTTAACACCATTTATTTTATTCCAGATATTCAAGCTTAACAGAGAGGAAGATAAATGATAAATAAATCGATTGCCGGGTCAATATCTGTTCTTTTATATATTTCTAACTCACTCAAATAAGTGCGAACTATCGGGGAAAATATCTCAAACCTCTTTCGACTTTGGCTTATCTGGCTGGAAGCGTTTATCAGTGAGCTTTTCGAGCTTCGCCCTCAAATCGGTGACGTAGTAAACCGATTGGAAGGCGATAAGACTCCACCTGGACTGCAAATGCCCGTAACATTACGGGCGGTCGCCAGTCGGCAGTCGCCGAAGAACCGTTATTGGAACCGGACCCGGATTCACGACCGGAGAGAAACCCGTTTGCTGAGACCCAAGACCCGGCTAGTCTTATCAGTCGCCACAATGGAACGCTCGAGCACGCAATTCGATAAATACACTAAAATTTGGAGTGGACCAAGGCCGGCGAATTTCTTCGATGTGGACTGTTCGATTGGTAAAATTCTGTTCGCCTTTATGCGGAATCATCCGTCCAGCATTTGTCAGGTGGGTAGATGCTTTGGATAATCCATAAAATTACTTATAATTAGTGATTACTTTTTAGATTTCAGACACGGAGGGCACAGCTCTCACCAATGGCGAGGCTATAACCTTTGCCATTCGCATTGCCCAGCAACTGAAGGCTTTGGGACTGAAACAGGACGATGTGGTGGGCATCGCTGGAACCAACACCACATACCTCATGCCAGTAGTTCTGGGATGTCTTCTCAATGGAACGCCCTTTCATGCGGTTAGTCCCTGGCATGATGAGGACACCATGAAGCATCTGTTCTCCATCACGCGGCCGAGGATCATTTTTTGTGATGGCTATGTCTACCAGCGACTGAGCATCATTGCGAGGATACTCAAGAGCCATGTCTACACGCTGAAGGACCACCGACTGGGCATGCCGCGCGTTGAAGATCTCCTGGAACCCACCAAAGCCGAGCTGTACTATGTGTAGGGATTTATTTTGAGACATAAAGGAACTATCTTAAGACTTGTGTTCTCCACAGACCCGAAACTCTTCTCCTGGGCGGCGATCATACTGTGGCCATTCTCTGCACCTCGGGAACAACGGGTCTACCAAAAGCCGTTTGCATTAGCAACTCAGCTTGCCTCTTTGATTTCGGGTAAGATCTTGGCAGCATTTTAAAGTTTTATTAGCTCAAGGGTTTGACAAGTTGAGATATAAAAAACAGTGATAAAATATTATGTCAAAAAGGTGCATTTAGATTAAAAAGATAAACTATTTTTCTAGATTTTAAATCTCCAGTATAAAATTCTATAAAAACATCTACTAAAATATTTTATGTTTTCTAAACGTTAGTATAATAATATATCAACCATACCATAATAATATACTAATACCCTTGTAGAGGGTATTATAATTTCAGTGTTCAGTGTTCATATTCAAACAAATATAAGAAAATTCATTGTAACTTTGTAGGAAGTAGGCGTCTTGATTCTTGACTACTTAAAAACAAAATTCAAAAATAGAAACGCTGAATCTGGAATCCCTGGAACTGCACCGAGTGAGCATTACTGTATCTGCAAGGGTATATAAGCTTCGGCTGGCCGAAGGTAGCTTCCTTTCTTGTTTTTAATAATTTAATTTATTTAAACCCTTTCATGACACATTCAAACCACTCACTTCCTTTCAGCTTTGTGACTGGCCAGGATGTGCTGCTCTCCTTCAGCACCATCGACTGGTCGGCGGGTATGTTCAACATGCTCTTCAGCTGCTGCCACGGCTCCACGCGGATAATCACGGATCGGGCCTACACCCCGGAGTACATGCTGCAGTTGGTGGAGAAGTACAAGGTGACCCTGTTGACGGTGGTGCCGCAGCAGGTGGCCTTGCTCCTTAAGGCTCCAACACTCAGCAAGCAGCGACTGGCGAGCATCCGGTTTGTGAGCGTTGGCGGTGGCTCCTGCTACGTGGCCAATCTCCTGAAGTTGCAGGACTTCCTCATCACCGGGCAGATATCCTACGGTTATGCTCTGACCGAGTGCGGCGGAGTGGCGGCCAATATGGGAGTGTCGAAGCCATCGGCGGTGGGCAGGATTGTGCCGGGAGTTCGGGTGAAGATCCTCGACGATGCTGGACGAAGTTTGGGACATGGCGAGACGGGCGAGATCCTGGTGCACAATGGCAAGCTCTGGAACGGCTACTATGCCAATCCCAACGAATCGAAGCGCATGCAAGACTACCAGGGCTGGTTCCACACCGGCGACATGGGCTACTTCGACGACGAGAACTATCTGCATATTGTGGAGAGGAAGGGAGATCTTCTGCGCTTCCATGGCGCCCAGTATTGTCCCCACGAACTGGAGCAGGTCATCGCCGAGCTGCCCGATGTGATTGAGGCCTGCGTCTTCGGGCTGTGGAACGAGGTGGATGGCGATCCTGCGGCGGCGGCGGTGGTGAAAATCCCAGGAAGTCGTCTCACCGAAATGGACATTGTGGAGTATGTGGCCAAGCGGCTGGTGGTGCAGCACAAGCAGCTCCACTGCGGCGTCTTCTTCCTCACCGAGCTGCCGAAAACCGGAAGCGGCAAGGTCCTCCGGCAGCAGGCACGCGATCAGGCATTGGGCAAAAAATGGGCCGACTACGGCAATGGACACTAATCTTTCGATAGACGTAATTCTGTTAGGCTTAAAGACAATTAGTTATTACCAACGATGGGTGACTCATCGAGTCAGCGTTCAAGTACTGCCGAAAAATAAAAATATAAACCCAAACATAAGCAGACAAAATTGTGTGTGTTCCAATGGCCGACACATTCGTGTTGGGCCATTGTTTGATATCGCCGGCTTATCTCCCGGTGATTGGTGATTGCGTTCCAGGTGCGATACTTGCGTACTGGCGCTCATTGATCATTGAACGCGAGGGGGGTTAGGCTTACGAACCACGGCATTTGGTTCAAGGTAATGGCACCGTTAGAGGTCGGCATTCCTTAGTAAATATCGGATAACGATAAGGGGTTATTCATGTGTAAAGACAAGCTTCTTGAGTAAAAACAAGTTGAAACAGATTACTTAAGATCATCTGTTGATGAAGAACCTTAGTCAATGTCAAGATTACATTTAATTAAAACTGGCACTGTTATAAATGAAGTTAAAAATCTGGGATGTTATTGAAATTATTCCAATAACTCATTATATACTCTACAAAATACTCTACAAATCCTTTATCAGCTTAAAAATAAAGTTAAAAATATTTTTTATCTACTCCACTTTTTGAATCTGCTCCAAAAGGATTAGACACCTTAGTGCATTACCTATCCGATTTTCTGATTTTTCAAATACCATCACTTTGCACAAAGACAGATTAGAAGATCACCTTAAGGCCAACAGCTGAAGATGTCAAAAATATCAAACCGCCCTCGCAGCGACTTATCGAGTACTAAATGCTGCACATTCCAGTTGAACAAACCCTTTGGTGATGGGCGAACGGAGGAACATCATTATTTGATTGACAGCCGAGCAAAGTTGCACTTTGTACGTGATCTTGTCAGCATTGCAACTGGATACTTTATGACCCCGCCCCTCTGCAGCACATCAACATACAAACTGAGTGACATGCCCCTTTGACTGAATCGATGCTTGGGTGCACTCCCGAAATAAACTGCAACAATTAAGAGCCACTTAGGATGGGGAATTAATTTGGCTGGGGATCAGTGATAATGATCGCACCATTCTTCGCCCGCTAAGCGGATTGACAGGCCCGAGGAGCATCGAGGAGCGTCTTCATCATCTGCCGCCTTGTTGTTTTCAATGTCAAGTTCAAGAAATACGATCCCTGTGGCGCATTTTCGGGGGCATTAGTGGGTACCATCCATCCATCCGGCGGGCTCTTAACCATTCATCATGGACCGACTGGCTCTTAAACCGGCTCAAATATGCAGGAAGTGCTCGGCGTGACCAATTGGACTCCGAGGCAGCTTCTCAAAGACGCCTGGCGCCCATCTGATCCGATCTTGGCAGCGATCGGACGGCGATTCTAATTGTCATGCAAATACCAATTATAATTTGTCAGTAGCGCCGCTAATATTATTGTGTGCTGGCGCAATTAAATGCCTACGCTCTTTATGCGATTGCCTGAATGGTTTCTGATCGCAGATCCAGAATCGCCAATCTGCGATCTAATCTCCACGCTGATTAATTCATTAGCAACTGTCGACCAGTTTGTCAGTTACATGGCAATGACTGTTGCCAGTCGCCATTGCTGCGATTAATTGGCGTTATTAATCGTGTAGAAAATGCTGAAATTGTTTGTGCTTATTTATAATGCTAAGCACTAATTTATGTCTCGCGAAGTTACGGCTTGAAGGATTGTTTAATTACTTTTACCATTTGCATATGTCACAGCAATATTTCCGCTAATGCCCCGTTCCCTTGGAGAACTGCTCGAAAGCGGATCCAATCCAGCTGCCTAACCGAACCCCAACGAAATGCTCAACGAAAATCGTATTAAGTCATCTAATGCAACCTCACATTATGGAAAAGTGCTTTGAAGGGCATCATGCTCGAGTAAGTCTCTATCCTAAATCTTCAACTTAAATTAAGGGTTCGACTATAAGATATCTACTAATTGCTAATTAAATTGCCCAAGGAAGAATTAAATATTAGCTCATTCCCATCTCCACAAACTAATAATTTGTATTTAAATTTATTGTAGTCAAATAAATACTAGAATATTTCGGATTTTGTCCATTAAGTTTTGATATAATAATATGGATGTATTTCTAATGGTCTAATCCTGTTAGGACAATCTAAAAAAGGCCTGTTCTATTTTGAATCCCTTTTGATATTTATTATTATTATAAAAATAAATATT